CTCCAGGAAAGCCTCCAGAGCCTGGGGAGCACAGAAAAAGGGCTCAGCGGACCTACTGGATGTTCAGAAACAATCTGTTTCCAGTTTCTGGAGGGCGGGGGGGGGGAATTTTCATCCTGCCCAGGCTCCGGAGGTTTTCTTGCAGCCTGGGGAGGGTGAAAGTGCAGACATAGGTTGTCCCTTCCATTCTTGAACAACCCTAACTTCTATAAAAAAAATTGATATCTGGCCACATTCTACTTTGTTATAATTTATACTACTGTTTTGTTTCTTGCCTTTTGGAAAACTCTGAACAGTTCTGTCCCATGTTCTACATCAATGGTCTCCAACCTTGGCAACTTTAAGACCTGTGGACTTCAACTCCCAGAGTTCCTCAGCCAGCTTTGCTGGCTGAGGAACTCTGGGAGTTGAAGTCCACAAGTCTTAAAGTTGCCAAGGTTGGAGACCATTGACTAACGATGAGGAACTCTGGGAGTTGAAGTCCACAAGTCTTAAAGTTGCCAAGGTTGGAGACCACTGTTCTACATGACAACCCATTTTTTAAGTTTGGTCTCAGTCACAATATTGTCTGATAATAGATTAAAGATTTTTTTCTTATAGTCCTGGAACACTTGGTTCTCAGAATTCCTTGTTACCAGCAGGACTACTTTTTCTGCTTTTCTGCTTGTCCATATCTAGTTCTTTTACTCGGGCCAGTGGAAACCATACACTGTATATTTTTGAGAGTTATTATTATACTAACTAATAGATTGAACACCACTCTGATTTTCCTGGTTCAGAATTCATCTCTGCTATTCTTTTAGGGGTTAGCCTTCTTACTTGCAATCTTGAGATAGTAAAACTGATTTATCCCAAAGGTGCTTTTTCCAATAGGCAATTGGACTTTCTTTTTTTTTCTTTAAGAACATTAAGCTTTTCATCCAAGAAACTTCTTCAGTTCTAACTGAATGGTGAGGAATAGAAAGATTTATATAAATATTCCCAACCAGTCAGGTAGAAATGGAGACACTTCTTGGAAGTGTAATGTTTTTAAAGAAAACAAACCCAAGAAAGTCCAATTGCTTTTTGGAAAAAGCACTTTTGAGACAATTATGACCTGGATATTTGAGAACCTCCATAGACATAACACTGATTTACTTTGTATTAGATGGGAAATTTGTAGCTCTGCGTTTTTTGTTAAACAGTTTCCAGCATTCTTTTGAGAATAGCCAAGCTGGCTGGGGCTGTTGCTTACTTTGAGCAAAATTGGAAGCACTACAAGTTCCTTATTTCTATTCCATTACCACTGTAAGAATATAATCTGATAAATGTATTCAGTGCTTTGAATATTTGAACATACTACAGAAACGCTAAGTATGCATTAGTATTATTAGTTAAACTGCTTCTGCACCTGGATTTTAATAAACAAAAATATTTTGGCTGCAGTTGGAAAGTTCATTTTACATATTTTATTATGATCTTACATATGTAAGTTTATATGTACCAGTATATGTAATATACAATCTATCTCTGTTAGTCAAAACCTCTTCAGAAATATTTCAACTGCTTTAAAAGCAAAACCACGCAGAATAGAATATGAAAAAGAAATGTAAATAACTTAATGCAGAAACTGCCTATATCAGAAGTGTAACATCTCCAAAGTGTTTATTTAACAACTGTATATTTAACAACTACTTGGCAATCAGAAATTCAGTAGTTTAGCCTTTTCCCTCCCACTTCTGGATAACTGAGAAACATATTTGTATGCTTGAAAAGGGGTCAATAGATGAATTTTTTCTCAATTACGCAGATATGATGAGAAGTATTGGCTTTATCTGCTTATTCCTTTTTGTTCTACATCAGTTAAAGCTATCCATAAGAATCATGAAACTCTGAGGCAGAGCAGAAGAATTTGGAATAGATTTTCATTTAACTAGATTAGAACATAGCCATTTGAACTTTCTCTTCTCCACATTTGAGCCTTTGTGAATTTGAAATTCTAGATTCTTCCTTTGGAACTTTGAAACACTGTAGATAATGGCACTATAATAAATGTGAAAATGTTAAACTTTTAAAAGTTGCTTAACATTTTTCCCTGTTTATGTAGAATGCAATGATGTGAAGGGAACGAAAATATTCAGAGCCCTCAAAAGTGATTTTGTACTTTCTTTGCTTTCTATCTTTATCCAAAAGGAAGACATAGCCCAACCTCTTAAATCTTCATTTTAGAAGTTTATTGTATTTCATTTTTAGTATTTTTAGTAGGTTTATTTATTTATAACTTTTATAGGCTGCCAATTGAACTTCAAGGTTGGGTGAGTTGTGGAGCATTTTTGTTATTGTCTCTAATTTTGGGTCAGTTGATGTGAAAAGAGCAATGATACCACAGTTTCCTTCTTTTCGAAAGTCATTTACTTTTGTAAGATTTTGTACTATACTGCAGCCTTATACTAGATTTTTTGTTTCTTGATCTGTATAAGTATAGTATCTCTGTACAAAGATTTCTTTTTTTTTTTTTTACTCTTCATCCAGCATTCATGGCAATATTTATCATTGCAAAGAGCATTATCTTATCTATTCTGATTTTTATTGTCTTGTAATGTCCTTATCCTTTACAATCTTGTCTAAATTTGTGACTGCCTCCCTCTATGATTTTTTACTTCTCAACACCCCGTCCATATTTCTCTATTTGGTTAATATACTGTATTGCTATATTGCATAGCTGAAACTGTTAGCTGGTTTTGCTTGCCTATTTTGAATCCATCTTTCATCTCTTCAAATCCTGTCATGTTTATAATAGAATCACTGTACAGGTAATCCCCGACTTACAACAGTTCATTTAGTGATGGATCACAGTTACAAAGGGATTGGAAAAAAAATTGGCTGTTTTTCACAATTATGACCGTTACAGCAACCCTGTGGTCATGTGATCAAAAGTTGGATGCTTGGCAACTGGCAACTGAAGCACAATCCTGGGCGGTCAGTTCTGGCTCTCCCTTCCCCAAGCATGTCCCATTGCTGCTTTGATGAATCCAGCATGACAGTGATGGCAAGAAGTGGCTGCCAGCGATGCTGTCAGCAACGACAAGAGCCCCGCCATCACACCAGACTCACCAAAAGTGATGCCAGCAGCAACGGGACATGCTTGGGGAAGGGGAGAGCCGGAACTCACTGCCCAGGATTGTGCTTCGGTCACCACTGTGAAAATGTCTGTTTTGCCAGCTGGGAGGCTGGCAAAGAAGCCTCCATTTCCCCATCACCTCCAAACAGTCTGTGCCCTCCCCCTACAGATTGATGCCACAGGAGGGAAGGAAAGAAACCTTCCCTCCCCCTCCAGAGAGCCTGTACCAGGAGAGAGGAGCTGGTTTGAATGCGGGCGAGCAGGCAGTTTAGTGGCCTCCTTCACTCGTTCGGGCAGGTGGAGAAAGAAAGGAGGTGCACAATAGCTGAGGGCCTGCCCAAATGAGTGAAGGAGGCAGGCGGAGAAAGAAAGGAGGCGCTCAATAAAGCACCCTGAAAGAAAGGAAGCACTCAATGGCCACTGAACCGCCTGCTTGTCTGCATTCAAACCAGCCCACTTCGTCTCTCGTGACATGGCTCTCTGCAGGGGGAAGAAAGGTCCCTCCCAAGACCTCGCTTGGCCTAGTGGCACCTCGGCGATAGCAGCTGAGCGAGGGAAGGAGGAAATCGGGGAGTTGACGTCCATAAGTCTTAAAGCTGTCAAGTTTGAACACCCCTGGTGTTTTTTTGTAAACGGTTAGGGGTGCAAGGGTCTTGTAACTTGACAACTTTAAGACTTGCACACTTCAAATGCCAGAATTTCTGAGCCAACATTTTGGTTGCTAAGCAAGAGCGTTGTTAAGTGAGTTTCACCACATTTTATAAGTTGGCCATGCCCACCTGGTCACATGACCACCGAGCCACTCCCACAAAACACCTACAGAATAGGTTCTAAAAGTTTTTGAAACCCACCACTGACCTCTCTATAAAGGGCCTCACAGCTGACAATGCATACTGGAGCGGAGCAAAAGCCATGAGATCAAAGGATATGCCTGCAGAGCTCAGGGACAGGATTATTGCAAAGCACAGATCTGGGGAAGGCTACAATAAAATTTATGTTGCACTGAAGGTTGCTAAGAGCACAGTGGCCTCCATAATTCTCAAATGGAAGAAGTTTGGCATAACCAGGACTCTTCCAAGAGCTGGCCATCCAATCAAACTGAGCAATCTGGGGAGAAGGGTCTTAGTAAGAGAGGTGACCAAGGACTCAATGGTTACTCTGACTGATCTCCAAAATCCTGTATGGAGATGGGACAGAGTTCCAGAAGGTTCACCGACAAAAGGGTGAACGACAAAATCACGCCCGACTAAACCACGTTGCTGACATCATCAACAGGGCGACAACAGCGCGGAGACA